TCCTTTTTTAACATAAATATGGTAACTGGACTACACCCTGAATTCCAAATACACAACATAACTGCATACTGCTACAGAATAGGTGAAAATACCACCAATGGGCCTAGAAATCAAATAATGTAGAAAAGTTTTCATTATTTCATTATTTTCTTTTTTTTTTCCTTAGTCTTGATGTCCTTTTCCATTCTGCTCCTTTGTTCATCTTCCAATTAGGTGCTTATGATATAATCACTCAGATGGGACACAAGTGAAGAGTATGTTGTCTGACCACTTCAAATTAAAAAAGGATACTTGAACACAGATGCACACATGCATACTACTGTAAATACATATATATATACAGTATATACTATGTATACATAAAAAGTGTAAGGATGGAGGCAGGGAGATGAAAAAAACACAAAGAAAATATTTACATCTTATTTTTCTTCAGTTCGTATGATGAAAACTGACTGCTAATTAGTTTTTGCAGGTTAAGCCCAACTCCAGGTTTCATTTCACTTTAAATACTTTATTTGGGCCAAGCTGGCCCAAAATTACTTATTTCCATTTCAAAGAAATGCACCCGCAGTCAGTGCTGTATAAACTGTGTATAGCATCAGCTACATACAGTGCCCAGATCTGTGTTTCGGCAGTGGTCTGGTGACTTCCCGTCTCAATCTGGAAACAAAATTGAGTTGGGCTGAGCACTGATCAGAAATACAAGGCTTCCTTTGATAGGCTAGGATGGAGATTGTGACTTTATCTGCTAGCTTTTTCCACCTCAGCCAATCACGGGAAGCCTTGCATTTATTCATAAAATACAAAGCTTTCTGTGAATGGCTGAGCATTGCTCAGTCTGGCTTGATTTTGTTCCAGGAGCAGGATGGGAAGTCCCCAAACCTGCTGTCAGAACACAGAGCTGATGCCATTTAAAATTTATACAGTAATGACAGTAAAATAAGAATAGTTTGTGCTTGTATGATTTCTTAAATATCGCTTCTACACATGCATATACATATACAGTACATAAGAACATGCTTATGTACATTGAATAAACATAAATGTGGGGGTGGGGCAGGGGTAGTGCCAGAGGAATGCCTGCTGGTACATGGGCAAAAGAAACCGTTTCCCCAGCCACAACACTTCAAGCAGCCTGTATCATGTGCAAGAGTTCTGTAGTCTTCCTATAATGCAAACAGCACAGATATTTTAATTGGCATTCAGGCCCATTGGATTTAAAATGCTCATAAAGCCATTTTTAGATACAGTAAAGAAGAGTTAAAACTCTTACCAGTTTATTTTTTGTTGTCTCTGTACCATTGGGGAAATTTCCCTTCACTTCCTGTCCCAGAGATGCAACAAGAAGTTAAAGGAAATCTCCAAGGCTACGTTCACACTAGCCTTGTGTGCAGGCGGCAGAGAGGCATTTGGGAAGCGTTTTTTTACCGCTTCCCAAACGCCTCTGCCAATTCTGCACATTACAGCACATGGTGCTGTTCTAACGGGAGCATTTGCGTCGCGTCGCGTTGCATCGCGGCAAAACGGACGCCTCTGGACGAGTCAGGAGGCTTTGAAGCCTCCTATTCTCGTCTATGGTGCCGCTCCGCAAACGCCCGGCCGGCGTTTGCGGTGCGGTTGCGACGCGGTTGCGGGGCGTTTGTGGAGCGGTAACACCACTCAAACTGCATTATAGGCGTTTGTGGGGCGTTATTAACGCTCGGAAAACGCCTAGCAACCGCCGCTAAACCGCGCATGCGGCGTTTGCGGAGCGTTTGCCGAGCGTTAAAAAACGCTCCGCAAACGCCGGACCAACGCTTGCCAAACGCTATAGGGGCGTTTGGCAAGTGTTGGCAAAACAGCCTAGTGTGAACGAGCCCCAAGAGTGAAGGGATTATCCCTCTTTAGAGAGTTGGTGTGCCCACTTGAAGATTTCCCCTTACCTTTTGTTCTAGATACAGCTCTAAATGTGTACATCATGAAAAAAAGTAGACATTCCTCTGCATAGTACATAAAAAGGTGTTCTTGGTAAAGATAAATATGACATCTTGTGTTATGATACATTTACAAACACAGTAAACTCCATATGCAAAAGAAGATATGCCTATCTTATCTTTCTCAGGCACCGTCATTTGACCAAGTTGGATTTTTTTTTTCAGCCAATGGCTACTTGGCCAACTTCACTCAAAACCCACACCCACCAACCTGGAACCCAACCTGCCAGCTGATAACTTTTCCTTACCTGGTGAAGTCTGTTATATTCATCTGATTTCCCCCCAGGTGCCTCGCTAATGTAATTTCTGCCTGTGGGGACCACTGTTCCAGTGTAAACCCTCTCTGGACAGTCCCTTTCACTCCCCTCGGTCCAACATTAAATATCTTCTGGATCCTAAAAAGACCCTACCACTGACCAGTCAATTAACATTTTCTCCATCACTCAATCAGTGATGTGGAAACCCAGAAGAAGGGCCTACTATATAGTAAACAGTAAGGATAAGGTCCTGGTGCTGGATGATTACGTGACTGCGTCTTCAGGTGAGTGACAACAGGGATTTGGAGAGTTTTTTTTATTAACCCAATGATCTGAAGGGAGGACTGGGGTTACATTTATCCTGGAGTTGGGCTTTAAGGTTGGTGTCATGGATATCTGACATTTTTCCTCTATTGTATGAACATGTCCACTCGGGTGATACCCAAGCATGTTGATTTAGGCCACAATTGCTTAAATGTATCATCCTCCATCCCAGCTGCCATCTATGCTTAGCTTTTGTGTAGGTGTCCATCTTTTTTGAAAGTATGTTGGCAGGTAAAATGTTTTTTATATCAGATATTTATAGATTTTTACTGCCTGGTTATCAAAGAACCATTTGGCCTGTTGGATGTCATCTTGGAGTGTCCATTTATTTCACTGTACAATAGATTTTGGTTTGTAAGATCCTCTATAGGCAGGGGCTAAAATGAAATCTTCAGAGTCTTCGGCAAAGTTATTCAAAATATGATGGCACTGTGTTGGTCAGTCCATTCAAAACATATATTTCAGTGTATGGAAGTTGCTGGAGAGTTGAATCACCAGTGATTTCCTATATACAGTACTTTCTATGTACTTCTGGGATGTGGTATTCTGCATTTGAGTCCCTGTGTCTTCACATCTTGCCTTCCTCTGGATCAACTGTGGGTATAGAATTGTGTATATGGAGGTTTTCTGTTTGGTTGAACTAGATGAACTTGGATCTTTTTTCAACCTGACAAACTATGTAACATCTGTTGTGGGTATTATGAGTAGCTCCCGCTCTCCATGTTGAATTACTTATTTATTTTACTGTATGTAATAGAAAACGCAATAGGAGGAGCTGGTACATGGGGAGGTGGGCTGGAACACTCAAACAACTGAGCAGAAACAGGGAGACCTTGTCATGGAGTATTCCAAACATATAGGAAGTGTGGGTCTATCTTTCCACACCAGGTTTCACAAAATGAAAACACAATAAATACAAACAAATATATAAATTAGTAATAGATAACATATATAAATTATACATATGTATAAACATGCCTTAAAATGTTGTTGTGAAAACACACAGGAGGGTGCAAACACCTAGCACATTATGGAAAACCACTATATTAAAGTGGTATTAAAGTCATTTTTTAAAATGTTATCTACAGGTAAGCTTATAATAAAGCTTACCTGTAGGTAAAATGAATATCTCCTAAAGTGCACTGTTTAGGAGATATTCTCTCTTTCCTAAAGCCAGCGCATGCCCATTCTGAAGAAATGGTATACCTGTGCCATTCCTTCAGAGCTGTGTGCCATGGCCTGGTACTCCCGTGCGCATGCGCAGGAGTGAGATCATCGTGGCCCAGCCTGTCAGACAGCCAGAGATCACAATCCTGGAAGAAGGACCGGGTGAAGATGGAAGCCTCTGCAACGATGACAGCGCTCCGCTGGAGGGCTTTGTTTTAAGGTAAGTTTTACATAATGTGCTAGTATGCAGTGCATACTAGCACATTATGACATTACCTTGCAGAGGACTGTTTTTTTTCCTTTCTTTTTTGTGGTTTACTACCGCTTTTGCAAACATAAGCTAAAGACATATTCACAAAATGTGAATTAGAACAAGCATTATAAATCTCAAATCCAGCTGTGGGGCGATGTCATCTGACCCAAACATGTAGGTTAGTAGGCTACCATGTTTCGAGGGATGCACCTCCTTCCTCGGAGCCTAAACCCTTGTACATGCATGCATTAAAATGTAGCTAATATTCATGCACAGCAGAGATGCCCCTTTGTGTTACATTATCTGTCGATAAAATCTCTAGGAACTAGATAATGATTTACTAAAGGCAAATAGCCAGTCCACTTTGCAAGGTATTGTTCTCCAGAGTTTAGTGAGTGTGGTCCAGTTTCATTTAGCAATGAATATCCAGTCACATGCAAGGAAATTTTTAAATAATGGTGTATTTGCTTGCACATGATTGAATGATGTAAGTCAGCAGAACTTTACCTCATTCATTGCTCTGGGGGAAAATTCCCTTGCAAAGTGAACAGCCGATTTTCCCTTTAGTAGATCAACCCACTATGTTATATCACAGCAATGTAATTTTTAATTGAGCTGGCTCAACCTTTGTCTTGACCACAATATGGCTGATTCTATTATCTGTATTGGTAAGTTACAATTTATCTATATTTCATCTGGAACTCGGGATATATTTCTTATGTAATGTTCCTAGTTATTTCATTCCCAGTAGCTGCCTTCGCATACTGTCTGATCCAAGTCATTTCCCAGACAACTATTTGACTGTCTTATATCATCTGGTAAAGAGAACATCTGTACAGTTGATTTTAGATTAAAGCTACTGTATATAAAGACTGCCTTTGTAAAAGGAAATCAAAGAAACACTGCTCTTTTTCACAGATTTGCCTGTCCAGAAGGATGAATTACTGATAGAGATACTGCAGAGATTGAAGTGAAGGACCTGCAAGTAATGGAGTTTAGCTGCAGGGATCAGAACAGCTTTTGAAGATGTTTAAATGTGCTTCGTGGATCTGCCTAGAACTTTTCCTTTTGTTTTTTATGAACTGCCTCCAAATAATACCAGGATTACCTAGTGCCCCGGACTACCTACAGCGTGGTTGGCAGAGACTGTTAGAGGAAGGGGAAAGCTGCTCAGACTGTAAACTGGAAGAATGTCCTAAACCCAGGGGATGCCTTGCTGGGGTGGTAAGGGACACTTGTGACTGCTGTTTGGAATGTGCCAACTTGGAAGGGCAGATATGTGATCTCGATAACACCAACCACTTCTATGGGAAGTGTGGAGATAATCTAGAATGCCAGCTGGACATGGGAGACCTGAGACATGGAGAGGTGCCTGAACCTCAGTGTGTCTGCTTATCTAACACAGCTGTTTGTGGATCTGATGGCAAGACCTATCCCCAGCTGTGCAAATTCCAGGAGATGTCCAATGCTCAGCCAGGGAGAAATTTGACTGTTGTACATGAGGGGCCATGTGAATCAGGTATAGTAAACACAATCATGATTTGTTTACCATAGAAATACAATTGCCTGCTGAAATGCAAGTATCAGTTTCTCAATTTGTTCAGAAATACTGAACCTGAAACTGAGCAGGGAGAGAAAACATTTACCTAGAAAGCTAAGCAAGACCATTCTTTAGGAATCAGGTCCACACCTTTCTAAATAAATCAGGCTTGCTTATGTGACTTTAAATAAATCAAAGCAGACCCTTCTCCTCTTTAAAGATTTACCATCATTATTATCTCTCTCCCTGCAATTACACAATTTATTTTCATTGAATAGCAGTTTTCTGGGGGATCCTTACCTAGATAAAAATTAAGTTCCCCCTTTCTGAAGCCTCCTGAGATGCTGATCTCAAGCACACCAGGAAGCTTCTTTGAATCTCTACTACACTGTGCATTTTCCTGTCAATTTCTTGACCACACTGCGCATGGGCATGTCATCAAGGGCCAGCTGCAAGCAGGATCAGACAGCTTGCCCCTGATGACATCAGAAGAGAAGATGGCCCATGGCTTGCCATGCTTTGACAAAATGGTGGCTAAGGCCAATGTGATTAACAGTCCCTAAGCAAACGACAAGGTCACCGACATTAGTGGGATGCTGCGGCTTAGACCCTGCCCACAGACCAGATGCCCTACAACCATACAGAGAGAATTAGGGTCATGTGTCCACTGCAAATAAGCAAAAAAAAAATATTTATCAACATTTTAATTAGTAAACATTGCATGCATTATTTGTGCTCAATGAATTACTTGTTATGGCTTTACATACACTATATGGTCACTTGCCCCCTAGCCACCCACCCAAAGCCTAACATGGCAACCAGAAGGGATCATATACAGGCTCAATTTACCTTGGCTTGCTGGGTTTAACAGGCACAACTACCTGTCAGACTTGCCCATTGAAATCAATAAGACAACACCACAACTGCAAACCAAATGCTTGACTTGTGGATGCAACACAGTAGTTCAATACTACATTTGGCCAAACAAACAAAAAAAAAGCATCCAGGCTAGGTTAATATCACCTCATGAACACTTGGAAGCAGCTGCTCCAGCGCCCTCTGGAAAGCTATCCACGGGGCAGTAGAGACTGCTGCCAGTGTGAATATAGCCAAAAGGAACCCAGTTGGCTATCTCTGCTGGCCTCCATCTTAAAATCTAGTTGCATGGCTGTCATTGCGATCCTCTGGATTTCATACTTTGTGAATTACAGATTAGCAAAAACAGGGCAAAATAATTCAGATTCTTTTTCTTCACACCTAAGAAGCATCAATGTCTCATAAAACACTGTGAGCCATGTGTCAGTCAGCAGAGTTTCTTTAAAGGCAAATAAACCTAAAAAGATGTCACTAGTTTTATTGAGATAAAAAAAATTCTAACACTGGATATATCGAGAATAGAGTATGATATCACTATTTCAGTGGCATAAATAGCAAGGGTCCATAAACTGCACATAAAGGTAATATAACATTTTGTCCATTCTACACATTTCCTTGCTCAAGACAACAAAAAGCAAAGGCAATGTCTGAGATTTATAAGCTTTTAGTTGAAAAATCTCTTTCATGCAAGCCTAAGGTTTAGATTTAGGGGCCCTTTAAAAAGAACATTGGTCTTCATGTTGATTATCCTCAGTAGTAAAAGGTCTTCATGTTGATTATCCTTAGTAGTAAAAGGTCTTCATGTTGATTATCCCCAGTAGTAAAGGGTCTTCATGTTGATTATCCTCAGTAGTAAAACACACTTTTATGAACCATTTTACTAACTGCTAGCCAAAAGAAAACATTGTGATTAATTTATGGTGGTATATATATATTGTTTTTTCACTTATCAGTGTTCACGCTAACACATAATTAATAACAGATCGCACCTCACAAAACTGCACTTTGTTCAGTTCTCCTGTAGGAATTATATAGAACATGGAATTGAAAACAGTAGCTGCTTGTCAATCAATTCCTCACAGTGTTTGATATTTTTCTAATATGTGTAAAATATACAATGAATCTGGGGCACATATTTTGTATAACAGGGGAAATGGTGCTTTCTGCTTTCAGTATGAAATATTCCATGCCTGCAAAATAGAAAAATAGAAAAAACTCACATCTACTCATCATTCTAATCACTCGCAGATGTAGAATTGTAAATTCCTAGCACTCTCTCTGAGCTGGCTTTTCAATTTCAGTAACGGCAGTGTGGCCAGACATAAGCTGGAGTCAGGAATCAGCCATGCACATGTGATCTGCTCTCCAAAATATGAATGGTCAGGAGGAACAGATATAATGCAGTGGGCATAATCAGGGGCGGACTAACAGCTCATGGGGCCCCCGGGCAATAGGGGATCATGGGGCCCCTGTGTCCTTGCCCAAACTCAAAAAAGCCTATGAAAAAGATACCAGGGGCATCTCATGGGGCCCCCTACTGACCCCGGGCCCTCGGGCAAATGGTCAGTCTGCCCCTGGGCATAATTTACTAAGGCACAGCAGGTATATATTGCTATGGTACAGCCAGTGAACATGTTCCCTGAATTTATATAGCAAATTGTGATGCTGAATGCTCACAGTAATGTCCTAGTTTACCATTCACATTTACATATAAATGATGGCCTTTTGCCCCAGTGCATGAGGCTCTGATGTTCAAGTGTGGGTGGTGGGCACTGGAGCCAGGGGCATCAGAAGAGCGGATTCGATGATCTGTGCTTGGCCCGGGGAGAGAACCGCTGCGGTGGATAATCGGCGTCTCTGTGTGGCTTCCCACCGGTGGTAGGGAGAAGTGACAGGTAGTGTGAATAGAAAGAGGGGCGGGCTGCAACGCGTTTCAGAAGCTCCGCCTCCTTTGTCAAGCAAAGGTGTTCTTACCTGCCACACATGCCGAGGGAGTTTTAGATGTGTCTTTTAAATAAAGTATTACTGCTTTTATCCATGCTGACCTGGCACCCTGCTTGTTGTTCCTTTGCATACTTCTGTGGGATCCCCCATCCTTGGTGAGGAGCTTCCAGTCCGCTTGTGTGGTTCTTCAGTCTCCACAGTCCATTTCCCCTCTCATTCTGCACACCCATCGGATGGACCCACTGACCTCTGCATCCTGAACACAACGATTTTGTCTGGAATCCTGTCCCCAATCCATTATTCCGTGGACTGGTTTTTATTCCTTATCTTTTTAATTTTGTTTCATTTTACATTAAAATTTATTTTCCGTCTTCTCTGTGAGCGCTAAAAGGTTGCTCATAGTTTCTGAAGATCATCCTTTATGTTAAAGTAGTTGTAAGGCATGAATGTTTATCATCTTCATGCATTCTCTGCATGAAGGTAAATAACCTCCAGTATGCACCTCCCCCAGCATCCTCCCTAATGTTTGCTGGTCCCAATCCAGCAATGTGCATGAGAACTGCTGCTGTCCCGGCTCTCTGCCTCTCTGCCTCTCCGCCTCTCCAATGGCTCAGAGACAGCAGCAGTATTGTTATTTTTTTAAAAATAAGCCTTTAGTATCACTTTAATTCTTGGAATGGACTGTAAAAATTTGATATGATGATCTTTATCCCCTCCCTCCTAGATTGTGAGCTGGAAAGAGCAGGGCCCTCGAACCCCTCGTGTATTGTATTGTACTGTTTTGTCTCCTGTTGTCCCCCCCGCTATTGTACAGCGCTGAGCAAACCCTTTGGCGCTATATAAATAGTGTATAATAATAATAATACTGTCAAGGTTCAAGGCAAACTCTTTGCGTTAATCTTTCGCATTCCCAAATCCTCTGTTAGAATCTGTTGTAACGCTGCAGTCATGTTCAATTCTTTGGCCATCATTCACACACTCAATCTTCGATCTGAGTGTATGAAGGTTCAGATTTTGTCCACATTTGCATCCATTCTTAGCTTTTTTTGGCTGGCCACTTCTTGCGTCATAGTGGACATCTTCCTGCCCTTTAGTAGCCTGCCTTCCTGCCTATCTCACTCAAAAACTTTTGATTTCTTCATTGATTGTTCACCATAAGTCTGTTATAACAGAGCTAAAGTTTAATTTGCACTTTTGCAAATTTTCACCCAAAATGTTATGTTAATCCGCTGCTCCAGATTCCTGTCAATCATTTTTCACCAACAGTGCAATGCACACAAATGTTATCTCTTCTGCTACTCAGTAAAGTCTGAGTCAGCTGGTCTGCGACCCAGATTAGTGCAAGTTAGAACATGTCAGAACACACTCGATTGCAAATGACTGTGTGACTCACCAACATAGTGATATGCCGCTGGCATTTTGGGAATTAATATGTCACACCTCATATATAGAAAGCAAGTAGTATAATATATATACAGTACATAGTGTCAACAGTTTACACAATGCTTTAGGTATTGTACATTCACATCATTCCTTGCCCTGAAGGAGCTTACAATCGAAGGTTCGTATCCCACATGCATGCATATACTAGGGCCAGTTTAGGCAGGATCCAATAAATCTGCCGGCATGTCTTGGAATGTGGAAGGAAATCAGAGTACCACCTAAACAAGCACAGGAAGGACATTCACACTCCATTCAGGTTGCGTTCTGGTCGTTTTTCAAACCTAGGACCCTATTACTGCAAGGCAAGAGTGCTAACAGCCAATGTGCTCCCCTATATTGACCCATGAAACACAATATAATACACATTCACCTGGGTTTCTTCCGTATGATATTTGAAATGGTTTAGAGGCAGGAGAGATGGAGTAGGCATATAAGTATAGTTGATGGCATTAAAAGGATTCAAGGGGTTCCAGATCCCATGTCACATGGCCTTATCAGAGGCACCAGTATATATAGAAATGAGTAAATGGGGAAGGGGGGAGAGGTGCCCAATACATTTCAGATATCGGTCTTCCCAAGCTAGATTGGAGTCAGCAGCCTGGTCCCGTTAGTGTTTGTATATATGTCTAGTTATACAGCCTTACCTCTGGGATTATGTTTATGCTCAAATGTCACAGTATGAAGAGTTCAGTCAATGGGTAGACCACATTGTTACTCAAACACTAGCAGGGATTTGTTTCACTGAATTCATTAAGATCCCGGTTGCACTGGGTGCGACTTGGCATGTGATTTGCATGCCATGAGACTTGCAAATTGCATGCCAAGTTTCACCCTATTGTCTGCAATTACAGTGGTCATATCGGTGCGGTTCTGATTTGGTTGATGCCGCACCGATTTCTAAAGTAGTGCATGCACTACTTTTGGTGCGATTTGAATAGACATCTGTGTCAGATGTCTTGCAAATCACACCTCAAATCGCAATGACATCCCGATGGTGAAATCATGCGACTTACAGTGAAGTTGCTCAATTTCAAAGTCAGGATTGCTGTGACTGGGGTGTAACAGAACCTGATCTGTGAACGAGTGCCACAGGCAATTTTCATTTTTTTGTTTTCTGACCAGAATAAGTAGAGTCTACTTCTAGGTTCCAGGTTTTTGTCATGTGACACATACCTAGAACTTCACTAGATTCTCTTGTGTGGGATGAGAAACCAGGTCCCAGTCTGGTTTAAATACCTCTACCAAACTTCCCTCTCTCCCTAATACCTCCATAATTATTTAAAACAGAGGCAATACTTAATTTATATCTGCTTTGATAAACTAATACACTAATACACTCAAAAGTACCATTTCGAACTTCAGTGGACAATGGTGGCTTGCAGCATCCACTAGCTATTCTAAGCTCTCAGGGACTCTAACAACAAAAGTTCTGCTCTTGAATATTCAGGTGCTTTAAATGGACTATAGTATGCCTTTAATTAAGGACCCAGCTGACTGACTGGGGCCGGGTTAGATCGTGAGATTCCTGCTGGCTGTGGTTTTATACCACTGATACCACTGGCATGTCATGTAGTACTAGTGAGAGGACATAGAACAATCTACTATAATTTCTATCTCCCAAATGAGCTCACAATCTAATATTTAGGACCACACACACCCATTGGTATACACTGTGGACATATTTTTGTTCCGAGTCAAATAATTATCAGTATGTTTTTAGATTGTGGGACAAAACTGAAGCAAAACAACACAAAGAACACTCAATAAATAATACATACAATACAAGTACGTAACTACAGATCATAAGGCCCAATAGCAAAATATTAAGCAGTCAACATAATCTGTACACTACTATGGACCAGTGATGTGGATGTAACATAGAATGGAGCAGTAGTTCATGGAATTAATATTTGCTTTATTTTTCCAGTGCACTGCTCAATCACTCATCAGTCTTTTTCAGCATAAACTAATAATTTTAGGGATATAAGATCTTAGGGCAAGTACTGAAATAGATGCTTTAGTAGTGCGTTAAAAAAAGGAAGCAATTATAATACCCATAACGGTATTTTATATAATTGCATAAACCAAAATTGTATTTTATATAATTACACAATAATTGATAGTACTCCTATACACAACTACTTTATAATGCTACTAAAAAATTTCTTTAACCTCTTGCCCCCCCCCCCCCCCCCCCGAGGATTTAACCCCCTTCCTGACCAGGCCATTTTTTGTGTTACGGAGCTGTGTTACTTTAACTGACAATTGCGCAGTCATGCAATGTTGCACTCAAATGAAATTTACGACCTTTTTTTCCCACAAATTTATTTTCTTTTACTAATAATGGCAGTGATCAACGACCTATAGTGGGAAGGTGGCAGACATTCTGACACTGGGGGGAACTGACTTGATGTCACTGACATCCCCAGTGACACCAATACAGTGATCAGTGCTAAAAAAAGCACTGACACTGCACTAATGGCACTGGGCAGGAAGGGGTTAATATGAGGGGCGATCAAAGGGTAAACTGTGTGCTGGGAGTGTTTTACTGCGGGGTGGTGTGTTGGTGCTTCACTGTAATCACACTGCTCTGGATGGCTGTGCTCTGCAGTGTGCCCGAGCCGACAGGGAGGAGGACTGTTAGTAAACAAATCAGCCCTCCTCCCCGTCGGAGATGCTCGGTAATCTCCGGGCCCTGGCGGGTAATCACCGGTAGGGACCCTGTGATTGACAGCTCCGGCCGCAAATGGCGGCACGGGTAGGGGCGCTAGCCCCCTACCCAGAAATACGAAATCACGTATATATATATGTGATTTTGTGCACCCCTGCCACCCTGTAGCAGTATATCTGCTATAGGGAGGCAGGGATGTGGTTAAACTTTGGCTTTTTTGCAGGACTACAAATCATCATCATACAAAACTATCATGAGATTTATAGAAACTAAACAAATGCTGTTGCTGCACCTAGAAAACAAGAGAGATCTGGGACTATCGAAGATCCCAAAGGCTCCTCCTGTGCATCTGACATGAGCGGTTTTTGAGTGCCACACAGTGCACAGATATCAGTGTGCAGTCAGTATATAGAGATCAGGGGATAGGGAATAGCACCTGGGGTATGGACACTGGGCAGAAACACTCAGAATGACTGGCAGAGATCATCATTATCAATGTCTCTATCCTGCTGCACACAATGCAGGTTGCTCCAAGTGATGATTCTGCTGTGCAATGCACTCTCTGCCATTTCCAGCTGTCCAGCTGCCGGGTATGACCAGAGGTGTGTGGACTGACACAGGGAAACGCAGGCTTCAGATATAGTGTAAATAAGACAATTTATTAAGACTAACAGCACAAACGCAGTGCAAGGTAAACATAACACAGTGCAAACAACCCAACCTCCAACAGATAACCATATATACAATCAAACATAGTCGGGCAGGCCGGATCGGTAGCAAACGGGCAAACAGGGTACCAGGAGCGAGCAAAAGAGTGGTCAGGAATAGCCGAGGTCAGGACAGGCGGAGTTCGTTCAGAGTCAGGATCAAAGCAGAGTCAGGATCAGGCAGGAAGCAGACAGGATGCAGACAGGATGCAGGTACAAGGGCTCATGGGAAACATACACCAAGGCACTGATTGCAGGTCTGGCCATTCCTTAAATACACCTCCTGCAATCAGCCTCAGGTGATGGCTGATTGCAGGAGTGAGCTTCTGGTTGCTGAGAGCATCCGCTGGCCAGCCCTGGTACTGCAGCCCACAAGACAGATGAGTACCACCACTAATGGTGTCCATTCCTGACACCAGCTAAGTTCACTGACTTGATGTCCCCCCGCCCCTCCACTGAAATTCCCAGAAGAGGTGGCCAGAAAGGCTGTTGCTGCCTTCAACTCCATGGCTCCATCATCCCTTTCTCATCCCAGCCAGTACCTGAGTCCTCTCCCAGCTCTACATTAACCACTGGTAGGGATGCCTGTGTTCACTGCCTCCTCCAATCTTAAACCTTCTCTTTTTTGCATGATAAGATGTGGGCACCTCCAGGGGTGGACTTAGCCATTCATATGGCCTCCTACTGACCCAGTGCCCAATTGGTCAGTCCGCCACTGGTGTCACCCCTCTGGTGGGTGTTACCTGGGTGCAGTCCGCACCCCCACAGTGACGCCACAGGCCCCATAGCAGCAGTGGGGGCTGCTATGATTATATTTGTACCACTGCATTCTTGATATAGAAATTCAGTACTGGTTACAATACCCAGAGATTAATGTCTGACCTACAAATAAACCTGATATCTCATGAAATGTTTGCTCATATAAACATTTTCAGGGTCCAGTCACACTGGGCTTAAATAAATGCCAGTTCTTTTGGCAGAAAAAAACGCTCAGGCGTTCAGAAGGGGTTTTTTTCGGCCTCTAAATGCTGAACTTAAATTATGCCTCTAAATATCTTAATGTGCATGGACACCTAGATAACACTGAGCTGCTTCTACAGGCAGAACACAAAGCTCCTGTAGAAGCAGCATTTTTAAAGCCCAGTGAGCATGGATTGCCAGGTCTAGGTGATTTGGCATTGAATTAACACTTTGATAACATTCAGTGATGTGCTTGCAGTATTTTTTGTAGGAGATATCTTCCAGCTACCGTAATTTTAGATACAATCCCAATGAACTTACATAACCTTACCGAGAAGAGCCACACAGTAAAAACTCTTTGCTTCCACTGTACAGGAAAGGCTTATTGCCAGTTCTTAAATATATTCTTTGACTTTTCTGCAGCACCACAGATCCTTACCCACCCTATGACAACTGGAATGTTACTGGGAAGGATGCTATATTTGGCTGTGAAGTCTTTGCCTATCCCATGGCATCTATTGAATGGAGGAAGGAAGGTTCCGAGATGCTGCTACCGGGCGATGATCCTCATATTTCAGTCCAGGTATTTAAATGACAAATTATAATGTTTGTGCCATAATATTTTATTATGCGTATACTTGCAAATTCCACAAAGAAGGCAAATGAACTGTAAAGAAGTGATAAAATTGAAAATAGTTTGTTCTTATGTCACTGATGCGCAGCTTGATGTGGGGTATGCAACTGGGAAATGGTGAAAGGTTTTACAAAATGCTAATTTTTGATAGTAACAGGCCAGCCATGTTGTGGAGTAGAGGTCTGATGCCATAGTGAAAGTCAAAGGGTCTCTTCATTTGCTGGAACTAACCCCAACCAGTTTTCTAACAGGCTGACATATAACCTAAAAATTGCTCATACAGGATGCTGCTATGGCTTTTTCCTTTCTGGAGTCCTGAATCTATAACTACATATCCCTTACAATAAAAAGCCACCTGGATTGTGTGAGACCACCTCAAATCCTTAACTGAGATGGAAGTCACCCCTCCAGCAAAGCAGGCTCTTTTCAGCTATCATTGTTGGCCAAAACAGCTGGTCCATCCTGTACAGTGAACCTGTTACATTATTTGTTGAAGACAACAAAAAGGTCCATTCATAAAGTGGGCATGTTTTATACTACAGACATCCAAGTATTTACAAATTCTTTAGAAGCCATAATTATAGATTTAAACATGTAATCAATGACTTCTGTAGCTGCAGGCATTATGGAGCAATTCATTCTCCAAGTTCATGCCAGAGGCACTAGAGACAGGTTCTTAGCAACTTTAGCTTACCCTGAATGTCCACAGATTCACGATAAGGCTGAACATTATTCATTCATTGTTTTATTTGTACACTCAAACATTTATTCATTCATTCAGATAGTAATATTTAAAGTTTTTTTTCAGTCCCAATATAACAGGGGCTGCTTTTGCAACAAAAAAGGACAATGCAGCCTAACACAGTAAGTTATTTGATCAATACCAATATTAGAAAATTAGAACATACTATAGCATCACATCATCTTAAAATATTATGACAGTAACACACTGAAAACATTATTTAAGTCACAGTCTTGTCACTGATTAAAGAAATATGAATTGCTAACCCTAACTAGTAATAATCTGGATACCTCGTACTGCATAGTTAACATAGGTATAAACTCTAATTGAATTACTGTTTTGTTCTTTTTTTTACGTTAAATACTGTGTTCACCTTTTTTTCATCCTTCCTTTCATCTTCTGCAGCCTCTTTGCAGGTATTTCCTTATATATGGATGTGCTCCAGTTATGGCTGCATGGCATTTTTCAGAGCCAGTTTACTGATGGTGACAGCACATGTATTTGAAACTGACTCCTATAATCTGCATCCAGACTTTGAGCAACAGGGTTACAAGGCAGGAGCACAACTGGTAGACTGAAAAAGGATCTTCAGAAGTTTACTATAAGCTTCAGATTTAAAATGATTAAAAATGTTAACATAAAGCTTGTGTGAGATTTTAGTAAATGCATATACTTTAAATTAAAACACTAACCTTCCTATTGAAAGTGAAATAGAGCGAGTGTTCATGGGCAAAGGGAGAGTTGATACTGGGGTCCTATTCAGATGGTGAACTCCAAAGTCCTACTGTAGATAGATTAGATCCCATGTACATTTTCAAGGCTTGTGCCACCAAACCTGCAGGCATTAGTGATTATCTGGGCACTGACAGGATGTGGAATGTTCATTTGGAGGCAATTGGTGAGTGGTTGGATATGGCAGGGTACAGATACAAGATCGGTCTTGCTACCCCAAAGCTATCAGAGACAGGCAATAAGAAGGGCAAAATGTATGCACGTATGCCTGGTTAATAGTTGAAGTTACACTGAGCTATGATTGCACAGGGACCTATTCTATGTCCACAACTGTCTAAAGAGGTATCTGAAGCCAGAGGCCGCTTGAAGTAGATTCCAAAAAGTGTCACTGAAAAAGCATAAAAATAAATTACATCTAGATTGTGATTACATGTGCCCACATGTGCTAACGCAAGTAAAACATTACTTTCAAGAACGATGTTTAAGACCTTTACAAATTGTATAATCACAGATGGAAAATTTTGAATCATCCTCTTTCAAGTATACAATTTATGGCAGACTATGTCTATCTAATGTTTTTCTCCTGGAGCTCACATGGAAAAAGTTTAATCGATGATACTCCATCATTTTCTAACACAATGAAGACTTTATAGAGTGGGCTCCACTGCTAGAACTTAGGGATTTCCTGTCTGTCTGGGATTAAATGTGTATTTCAGCATATCTGAACTGATGAATACAGAGTCCTATACATCATTGCTGGTGATCTTCTTGATTCTCTGCTTTGCTTTTGACTGGGATGAAAAGGCTCGTCTGGGAAAAGCTACTGTGCCGATAGCATCCACTGGCCAAGTTAGAATTAATATAATGTGTGCAGCAGCAAAGCCATACAGTTTATGCATTTTGACTGTAACCCAAAATACAGTATAATTTCCCTGTCATCCAACATTACCCACATTTTCTATCTCAATATAGTCTACATATTTTGGGGTTGCAAACCTAACAACTGAATCAATTCTAAAACTTCCAAAGGAGTGGGGCTATTGAGAAGAGGGCACCATAATGTCCACCTATGGCGGAATGTCTGCTAAGTCCATAAGTGTTAAGAATTTTGTGGCTGAGAACAATAGAATGGCATAAAGATATTCTTCATTTCTTTGATTCTACATTTGGTAGCTATGCAATTACAGATGTATACAGGGACTTAGGTATAGTTATAGTGGCTTGATCATTTATTGGGCAGTCACAAAGGTTTCAAGTTAGTGAATTAAACTATTACTAATAAAAAGTGAGATATAGGCTGAAAAAAACAACACTCCCTGAGTCCCACAGTCCAGTTATCAGTACTATCCAATAGTGAGGCAGGATGGGTGCCCATAAGTTCCACATGTTCTCGTACTACCTTGCAGAAGGTGTAAAATGAATGACGTTGTTGTTGCTGGATGAGACTTCCTTCCAAAGCTAAATGGTCAGGCTTAGCATGGTGAGCAACAGACATGATTCTACCCTCCCACTGTGAGGATATTAGCCTATGTGTTAGGTTGGTAATTTTAGTAAACTGACTACTTATCTTTTTTTACCCCTTATCTTTTGTACATTTTGCGGCCTTGATGGATTTGAATGAATAAATGTGAAAATAATGCCATAATTATGCCATAATTATGCATGGGCAAAGGCTAGGTCTTGTGGATAGAGGCTATAGTTTAGGACCTGTTTTACCAAGTTAAAGTAAATAAAAAAAATAATAATATATAAATAGAGTTTATTTGTCGGCCACTATCACAAATATAGTGTGGCACATTCACTCACTAGTGGCAGCACAGCATTTATTTATGTTTGTATTCACTTCTTAGAGTTCATTCTTTAGTTCACCTAGTCAAGACTTCCCAATATCATCTTGTACATATTAAAGAAAAAAGTAAATGAAAGCAATTACTGTATCCCAAAATATGTAGCACTTGATTGCAGACCTTCTTAGAAAGGATGATGCAACGGCAGTGGTCTAAATCAACAGCAATAACAATACAAATTTCAAAGACTGATATGTCATTTAGTTAGAGTTGAAAACATTTCTACTGAGGGACCATGTTGGTAGGAGGGGGGGGGGGGGGGGTCTCGGCTTATATTACAAACACAGATTCAGACATTACATCTTAGGAATCCAATGTAGGTCCCTATATAGATGATGCGGCTATCTTTCATGAATCTCTATTATTGGGGGATGCTGAATGAGGAAATTATGGATTATGAGCATTATTTTTTAAATTGACTGATGATTAAAAGAAAAAGCTAGAAGCCCTGCTGTATGAAACCTGTTATCTAGGTGAATGGTGTATATGTATCATGTTTGCCTTTTAATACTGTCACGCTGGAGCATGGGTTAGTTAGAATGAGCCTTGTGTAGTCCCAGTTTGTGTTCTGTTTTTGTGTCTATATATTTATGGAGAGAAGTTAATCTCTGACCATACAGTCTGGAGTTAAGTTCAGCATCACTAGTGTTCCTTTGGGCAGAGAGCCAAAAGTTAGTGGAAAGAGAAAGCCTGATTTTCATGAAGGCTAATTAACTTTTTAATGCAAACTTATTTGTAGGTTAAAATAACAAAGAATTTGATTCACTAAACTAAACCAGATGCCAAGCTAAAGATAAACAAGAGGAGGGCCAAAGGAAGAAATCAGACTAGGCTCTACCATTCATTTTATGTTCCACTACAATTTGCCTGGATATATTAAATATCAGTAGTAAGACCAACAAAAAACATGTGGCAGTTATGGGATATTCTGAAATTATATGTTTTTTGCATATGCTTTTTTGTCCTTATTATACTATATGGTGTTTTTGGAGTTTGGGATGTGGTATACGATGGAGTGTCTGTGTTTGAATATGACTGTATCCACCTGAAAAGTATAAAAGTAGAAAAAGTATAAGATGCAGAGCCCAAGAAGGATAGGTGTATACCAATAGCACCTACAGTATGTAGTTACAAACTGGGGCTGACAGCACGGAAAGCCCATAACAGTTTAGCTGCATATTGACATAAACAAACAATAAAATGCCAAATCATCTATATACGTTTCAAAAAGTTCTAATCTGTCATATTCCTCTGAAATAAATGAATATGTTTCAGAGTTTATTAGTATAGAAAGGAGCTGGAATTCTAAAACTTTAAAATAGCAAAATCTAAACAACCATGGCTTCCGGAGGCTCCTTTGGCTAGAACCTGTCAATAGAGTTCTCAGTCCGTCCCATTTCTGAAGCCAAGCCCCTGAGTTTTCTTGCTACTTTCTTCATAATGAAAAGAAATTAAACCACCAGCATTAATAGTTATGGTCCCTGATAATGGCCAGGGCAAATAGAAGTGGAGTGAGTAACTTACTGACTGGGTCTTGCCAGTGCAGTGCTGGAAAAACATACATTAAATTTCTAAAAGTTTATTGACACCTCACCTCCACACCAATATGGGGTTGATTGACATCCCACTCACAAACTAGGGGCATTATTATAAAATTTACCCCCACTCCCTCTCTAACAGCCTCCTCTCATCTGTGAAGGTTTTCCACAAAATACTGGAGAGGGTCTGCTGGAATTTGTGCTAGGTCAGCCAAAAAAAGGGCAATTTAAAGTCTGATACAGATGTTATGCAAGAGTACCCAGTTCACAGTTGGCATTCTAATATCCCACAGAAGTTCAGTAGGGTTGAGGTCAGGGCTCTATGCCAGCAACTTGAATTCCTCCACACCAAACTGGCCAAATCATATCTGTATAAACCTGGCTTTCTGCACAGGGGCATATAATTTATTTATATGCTGTAGCATTCTGGGTGTATGAACCGTATCTGAGCATGGTTCACCCCATAAGTCTGATTCGTTTGTATAGTGTGATAGTTCGGTATCACACTTGGGTAAGGTTCAACATACTGGGCTCAATAATACTTGAAAGTAGTGGTCTGGGGCATGGTCCAGTTGGAATCTGGCACAGGCACAGTAGTTAACTTGAGCACCAAACTTTCATAGATCACTGAGCACTTACAGAGCTCAGAGGTGATGACATAAGCATACTCAGGACTAGCACAACTGGAGTGCAGACAAGCAGGGAAGTGGGGAACAAGTGTATTCAGGCATGGTGTGAGAACACCCTGACAGTATCCCTGACTGGAAGCACCTGAACTTTTTATCATTTTAGGGAGTCCACATACTTTTGGCAATATAGTGTAGTTGTGATGGTCAGGTGTCTACATAATTTAGTCCAATAAAGAGTATAGTAGATGGGCAGTAGTAGTAGTTCAATCACCTCAGTATGCTTTCTAATACTACTTTCACACTGAGGAGTTTTTTGAAGCGCGTTAAAAAAACAAGAAAAACGCTTCCCTATGTATGTGAATGTATATCTATGTGCGTTTTTATACTGATGCGTTGTGCATGCGGTGCGGTGTAAAAACTCCTGCTTGCAGCATCTTTGGGGCATGTTTGGAGAGTTTAAAAAAACACCCCAAAAATTCTTCTTTCCCATTGAAAGCAATAGTTCAGTTTTTTAGTCATGTGTCCTTTAAAAATGCCCAGAAAGTGCGACAAAAGTGCAGTAAAAACACTCATGCATTTTTGCTGTGTTTTTGCGGCAGATCAGTGTGAAAGTAGCCTAAATCACAGTATCCATCTTGGTAGGATATGCCTTGTTAAACAACATTTGGCAAACCCGAACCTTCTCTGGCTGACCTCAACTCATCTCAGTCGATATCGTCAATGACAAGCTCGCATGGCCAGTTCCCAGCAGTGATGAAGGGAAAGATCTCAAGGAATGAAAATGATGAATATCTGCAGAATGTAAAGTATTTTTTTAATGGACAAGTGAGATGTTATGTATCTATATTCATACTATTTCCTTTTCTTAAAGAAATAGCTGTATTAATTGTTTGTGTATGTTAAAATTTTAAGAACTTAAAGCAGCTTATTGCTCAACTAGATGAGGACAAAAAGTGATATTATGTTTCCTGGTACTTGTAATTCTAGTGTGGAAGAAATTTTTGGAACTAGAGTTTGGTCTTTTGGAATGACTCCAGGCCACTGGAGTCAAGTGGAAAACTGGAGTGTTTAGTCCAAAGTAACAGTGAGTTTGCCAGACAGCATTCCATGGCTATGGGAAAGTGCCAGGGCATCCCTATCCATGTTTGGTTCGCTGAAAATGAGTACAAATCATCACACTTGTTTGTAAATGAAATGACGTATGTTGCAGTATATGGTGAAAATATTGCAGAACACAGACTTGGATTTACAAATGGGATTCCAACTGTGTGTATATATATATATATATATATATATATATATACCTATTCAGCTGCTTTGGTGTTAATGAAATTAACAACAGGTGCACTAGATGGGCAACAATGAGATGACCCCCAAAACAGGAATGGTTTTACAGGTGGAGGCCACTGACATTTATTTCCATACTCATTTTTTCTGACTGTTATTCACTAGTTTTGCATTTGGCTAGGGTCAGTGTTACTACTGGTAGCATGAGGCAATACCTGGACCCTTCAGAGCCTACACAAGCAGTCCAACTCCTCCAGGATGGCACATCAATACATGCCATTGCCATAATATATGCTGTGTCTCCCAGCACAGTCTCAAGAGCATGGAAGATATTCCAGGAAGCAGGCAGTGACTCTAGGAGAGTTCTTAAACCATCAGAAGAACTGGTATCTACTCCTTTGAGTAAGGAGGAACAGGATGAGCACTGCCAGAGCCCTACATAATGACCTCTAGCAGGACACTGGTTTGAATGTCTCTGACCAAACAATCAGAAACAGACTTCATAAGGGTGGCCTGAGGGCCACTGTCCTCTAGTAGGCCCTGTGCTCACTGCCCAGCATCATAGAGCTCAATTGGCATTTGCCATTGAACACCAGTATTGGCAGGTCCACCACTGGCGCCCTGTGCTTTTCACAAATTAGAGCAGGTTTACCCTGAACACATGTGACAGATGTGAAAGGGTCTGGAGAAGCCGGGGAGAAAATTATGCTGTCTGTAACATCGTTGCAGCCATAACCTGTCCAGCCCACAGAATGTATGGTGCACAGCTGGTGCATGTTTTGCATTTGTCTGACTAGAACCTGTAGGATTGTGTATTGCTTCCTTTACAGCCATTCTCTTTGTACCACAATCTATATTAACTAGAGAATCTTTTGCTGTTCTATTGCTGCAATAAAGTGACCCATTCACGTGCAAGGAATATATAAAAAAATAGCATTTTTGCTTGCATATAATTGGATGATGGAAGTCAACATAACTTCATCTCTTTCCTTAAGCTCTGGGGCAAATTCCCTTGCAAAGTGAACAATTTATTTGTAAACCAACCGCAATATCTCTGGATTAAGTACTACAACCTGTTAACCCTGTAGGTACCTTTTTACAATGTGTAGTTTCTAAGTAAGTCAGATTTTCACCCATTGACAGTTGATTGTTAATTCTGCTGCAAGGTAATGTCATAATGTCTCCTAGATTGTAAACTCGAAAGAGCAGAGCCCTCGAACCCCTCGTGTATCACATTGTATTGTTATCGTACTGTTGCATGTTCTGTCTCCATTGTAATGTACAGCGCTGAGCGAACTGTTGGAGCTTTATAAATACTGTATAATAATAATAATAATAATGTGCTAGTATGCATTGCATACTAGCAGATTATGTAGAACTTGCCTTAAAACGAAGCCCTCCAGCAGCATGCTGTAACTGGTGCAGAGGCTTCCATCTTCTCCTGGTCTTCCTTTTGGGTTCTCAAGCTCTGGCCATCTGACAGGCCGGCCGTGATGATGTCATTGGGAGTCTCAGGCCATGGCACAGTACTCTGAAGGAATGGCATACCTTCAGAGAGCATCATGCGCCAGCTCTAAAGAAGAGAGAATATCTCCTAAATGGTGCACGTTTAGAAGATATTCATCTTACCCACAGGTAAGTTTTATTATAAGCTTACCTGTAGGTAACAGTTAAAAATAAGAGTTTACTGCCACTTTAAATGCAACGTATGGTGGGTAAGGAGTACCTCAGGCTTTGTGTTATAGATTCAAATATTTTTTTTAAATTAACAATTCTTAGTAAAAGATACAGAAACCCAAAATAAGAAATAAAGCATTTCATAATAACAGTATACTGCTTCCCTGAAATACAGAGCATAGTGGAGGCTAAGGCCAATACATTGCAAGTAGTGTTGAGAATGGGCAAGAATATGAGCCACAAGTTGGTTCTGTAGTGATATGAGTGCATGAATAAGCAGAAATGTCCTTTAGGTTACATGTATAAGATATGCCTCTGGTTTTCATTAAGACCTTCATGGCACTTCTGATGGCCTCTCAATGAGTGGTGTTATAATAAGGACTGTTTATTTATATGTAATATATTCTGAGTTTTATCAGCCTATCCAACAGATTTACATTTCTCTGAATTAATTTATAGTGAGTTACAGTGGGCGTATTTTTATTTTTTTAAATATCTCTAGTTTAGAGGAGGTCCTCAGAAGTATGAAGTGACGGGGTGGCTTCAGATACAATCAGTTCGTGTGACCGATGAGGGAACATACCGTTGCTTTGCTAAAAACAAAGTTGGAGACGTTGTGGCAGCAGCGACACTGACTGTGCTAACACCAGGTAAAACTCATATTTTCTTAGAACTCAAATTTCCATAAAGCACATTTAAAGTGGAGCTATGACCTCCCATTAAAAGAAACTATGCACTGCTGCATTTTGTTAGTGCATCTGCACTTACAATTTTCACTTAGTCACTTTGCAAAGTCCCAAAAATACCTCTTGATTCTTTAATGATGTCCACCTAATGCATCTTCCTGTGATGAGGTTGCATTCATAGCAAAGTTGGAACTCTCATGTAGGCTGCCTGCTTGCACTACAGTGGGATAAAAAAGAGTTGCAGGGGACAAGGCTGTTGGCATTATCATTGCTGAATCAAAAGTCTGTAGCTTGTGAGTCAGCACCTGGACACACCTAGTCCTGCCCACTGCTGTCTGGATTGACAGCTCTGCCTCTGTTGCTGAAACATTTCCACTGTGTGCTGCAGTGTCTGGGAGGGGGAGCATTTTGGGACTCAAACAAAGCAAGATTTGGCTCAGTTAAAGAAAGTAAAGGAATATTTTTGTTCAATTTATGAGACCTGTGCATCACATCATCACATGAGCACTGACTTTGAGCCAGTAGCTGTCAATGTAGAAGCATGCTTGTGATCTAGGTCCATAGCAGTTATTAACAGCGTGATTATTATAACTGGTAAAAAAAAATTGTGTTTTTCTTTGGGACTGGCATTCAGCCTAGATTGCCCACCATTTTTTAAAGTTTAAACATCTCTCAACTTAGTCATAAATTTGAACAACCTGGGAAAACTTTTCAATGGTTTCTATTGGCTCATTGTTGAATAAGTGGTACAAAACAGAGAAAATCAGCGCAACCGTCATGAGTGGCTAGCCGCCTGCAGAGCAAACATCTATTCTTGCTGTTTTAGTTAATAGTGCTGTTCCAATGTATTTACTTACAATATATACAGTAATTTATGTATTTACATATTTACTTTTTGTGTGCTTTAGAACAAGTGAACCTGACTGGATTGTCTCTGCCAAAATTCCGCATCCCTTTACAAGAGGACGATGCTGACAATGAGGATTCTGATTATTACTGAATTTTCCATAGAACGTTGGATCTGGTCTGAATCATTCTCAACAGGTTTTTTCCATACATGGCTAGAACATTCTACACATGGCAAATTCCATTTCCATGACAAGGGACAATGAGAAGCACTTTATATTTTGTGAACCCGCTTTGGCAAACTTTGTAAAAGATTTTTTATTTGAAGGATTCTGGAAGAAGTTACATTTTTTATCAGTATTAGTATAAATATTTTTAATGAGAAGACTGGATAGACAAATACTGACACTGTATTATTGAACATTTAGTAGATGCATTTAATTATGCAGTGTACAGAAGTCATTACCTAGAACCATGCGCCCAGACCAAGCCACAGTGTTTATGCAGTTTAATCATTTTGGCAGGAGTGAAATAAATCAAACTGGTATTTAAAGTTACTGCAATCTGTGGACTTTGGTTAATGGCATACACAGCAAATGAAAATTTTCTTGATATTGTATGAAAACAGTTTTCATGTAACTTTCATTAGTATGTGTTTAGTGTTCATATAGCGTTATATGATGTTTTATATAAATTATATGTTTCTCTTGTTTATTCTTTTCTTTTTGCAAAGCTCTTTCAGGTAGAGTTGTGAAATTAAAGGGTAAGCTCACCTTTTCACAAAAAAAGAAAAGGCAAACTAACCCACACACCACTCCTGTCCCTGCTGCATGTGCCCTATGTTATTCCTGTCTTCCATTACCCTCTACAGAAGGTATAATGGTCCGGCACTTTAGAATTTCATTAAACAGCATTGGAAGCTATATAGTAACATAATACTCACAATAGCGAGTGCTCATTGGGCAATGCTGGCCACATGACTGCGTTGACCAAGGAGATTCTCTTCTATGTTCCAGGACACCATTCTGGACTAAAGAAATGTCAAAAGGAGTCTATTAGACTAAAGTGGTCACATCGCCATTGCTCCTATTATGCTTGTATACAGGCAATGTTTAGTGATGTTTAAAATGTGCACGATTATATGGGCTGGAGAGGACATCAGAAGATGGGGATCATGTATGGTACATCCAATGGAGGCAGGAGGGGTGGGGAGAGTGTTGTGAATGAAAAGGTGAACTAACCTCCTAAGTGTTTTGTTCCTTTTACATGGACACATGCTATACTGTTTAAAGCCTCACACATGCATAGGTGGAGTAACCAGGGTCCAAGTAATGGGGTGTTGTCATCTTTGTGTATATCTAGAAACACAAAGTGTTCTTGGCACTTGAGACATTGTACTATGGGATCTTTAAAAAGGACAAACAGTTAAAGTGTTAAAACACCTTTTCATTTCCTCTGAAAGGTGAACAAACACCCTCCCCATCTCCCTCCCCCTGATGCCAATTGTACTTACTCCTCTGGATGGAATGCTGAGCTGTCAGTGCTCATGCAGCCTGTGTAGTGGTCCAGGAATTTGAAATCCCCTCTCTTCACTGTGCTGCGCTTCAGGAACAAATCAGAGTTGATCTGTCTTGGAAGTGTTGCACAGAGCAGAGCATAGGGAGAAGAGCGGGTATTTCAAATCCCCAGGACTATTACACAGGCTGCATGGGCACTGACAGCTCAGCAGGGACAAGGTGGTAGGGGGAGGGTGTATGATGTTAGTTCACTCTTATTTTTTTTCTGAAGAGATGAAGTAAGACATCAGTGTAATCTGGCAGTGGATGTGTCTCACTGTCAGAATACAATGTCACATAGGAAAATGGTTCCTTTATCAACCTATCTTGTGTGGATAGAGAAATCCATTCTTTGTTTGAATCACAAAGACTGATAAAAAAAAAAAAGTAAGCTATGGCCAGCTTTACTATGCAAAGCCTGCTTGCATTTAAGTAGACGGTATTTAAGTCTAGGGGCTCACCTTCTAAGAAGACTCAGGTCTTCAATACAATGGCAGTGAGGAAGACATAGTGAATATGATCAACATCAATATATCTCTAAATCACAACAAGCATAAAGGATAAGTGCGCTAATCCTTCCTGCCTAGTACTCCCCATTCCCTATCCCAGATGTATTCATACCTGTATCTCACAACATCAAATCCCCATATGTAATTGTTCTTCTTCATGGGTATATCATTATTTATTTTAGTTTATGTATAGATTTGGTAGATGACATACTTGCATTGTGTTTTATATGAAACAATTAGTAAGGTCAAAAAGGTGATTTTAACCATATAATTATAGGATATACTTTTTTTTTTACTCCATCAGCAAACACATAGTTATCGCGTATAAGCTTTTTTCATACAGTGTCATTATATAGTGAACCAGATTGGGCAAATGAGACAATGAAAAAAGGTGTGCCTAGTTGAATGGTTTTGTGTTGGACTCCAAAGATTATGTATCTGCAAGCTCTAGTGATCAAAATGTGGCGCTAAATAAGTCACATGGTTAAATCATTAAGACTGAGCAAGACAAATGTTCAACTACTTCATGAAGATGCCCACTTTAGTACTTCATACACTTCATAGCACTTAAAAAAAAAGTATACATAATTCCTACAGTAATCACCAATTGGAACCACTGTCATGCTAACAGCACTGGAAGCATGCCCACTGGTATCCCCTCAAAATATTAGTGTTGTGGGTACTTTGCAGATAACCATCTTGATACATGATGCATAAGATGAATAAAGGGATGGAACATGAAGGTATTTGGAAGATCCGTCAGCTATGTCCACTAAATGATTTTAAATTCAGAAATGTCATATATTACTGGAGTGTACCATGAGAACCTAACCAGAGGCAGACATCATAACACATACACACTGCTCAGATATCTAATATGAAGAAGACTGGATCAATTGCTAAAGCTGGATGGCTAAAAATAATAATTTCCTGGAAAGAACAGCCCTTATCCTACTGACCACATCTTCAAAAAAATATTTATATAAGAAGTTTAAGATCGCTCATAGCAACTGCTGTTCCAGTTGCAAATCTGCACTAAAGAATTTAAAGGTAAATGTAAACTATGTTGTACAATTACTGGAGAACAAAAACTTTTGTAACTTTCCCTTTTCATATAGAAATGCATTCAAGCTTCAAAGCATTATGGTTATATTTTTATTGAATGTGCTGTTCTTACTCTGTCTCTCGCTTGTGTTAAAAGTTGAAGGTTATTTTCCATTTCTGAACCACGTCTGAAAGATGTATGAATTTTTCCAAAAGTTCCTCCAGACCCGTGCTTTGTTCTGGAATTACACAATACATCTCCCCGTAAAACAAAACATTACTCTGTTCCCTGAGAAGTGTCTGTGAGTGCCCTCCAAAAGATTTTAATTCCCTCCAGATTTTAGAATAATTATTTATATTGCACCATCAGTTTCTAGAAAAACAACAACAACATGAAAAAAAAAAAAAAAATTCCACTTTTGTTTCAACTTCATAGTCATAGGTTAAAAAAAAGCACTATTAGAATTTGTATCTATAGAATTGTATATAGTTAGATTCATTAATTAAATAATGAAAGCCTTTATTGCTCAATGAATAATTTATTTATAGTCCAGAGTAAAAATAGAAAAAGTAGAGTTTTATTGGTTATGGCAGGGGTCTCCAAACTATGTCCCTCCAGCTGTTGAAGTACTACAAGTACCATCATGCCTCTGCCTCTGGGAGTCTTGTAAGGCCTCATGGAACTTGCAGTTCCCCAACACCTGGAGGGCCATAGTTTGGAGACCCCTGGGTTATGGGAAACAGACTGAGAATTTCATAGATTGTCTCCTGTTTTGTTATAAAGCTTCCAATATGCTTTTCCGCCTACTCGAGTAGGCTTGTTCATAGTAGACCTAAAGTTAACCTGTCTTTTACTTAAAATGTTTATTTCAAGGTTCAAGCTTGACAGCAGGTGCCAAGTCATGCCATGACCTTATGGTTCCTACGTCAAGTACTCATAATGCCACTGGAGCTCCTGTGAAAAAAGAAACACCAACATATGGAAGAATCGGCATGACCAATTGCCAGACTTTAATACTTCCACTGGGTGGATAGCTATGTCTATACAAATACCAACTTAAAGCATATCAACACTTACTGAAATCATTCCTATGCCATAATAAAGAAAACAATTGAAAAAAAATGCTGTAATTGGCTGTTATGTGATACAAAATAGTTATTAAAAGGCTGTAATAAATATGGCCCAGAATAATTTAAAATGTAAGACTAATTATTTTCATTGCTATCATGATATATAAACATATATATTTAACGTGGTTATAGTTAGATAATTATCAAAATAACCACTTTAGGTGGATTTCAGCTTTCACTCCCGACTATGGCTGGCTGCTGGTCCTGTTCCTCATGCCGACAAATAAGTACCAAGAATATTAAGGATTTGGGAAAACACAACTGGCCTGTGGAAAACTTTTTGTTTTAGTGTATTAAACAGCACAGGATAGAGCACTTACGTCTTTCACACTCACAAGTGTGTAAGTGTTGCATCCTGTGCTGATTTCATAAATTAAAAAAGTTTTCCACAGTCTGGTTGTGCAGTAAATCTCTCATGTTCCTCTACTTTTAGTTAGATTAAAAAAGACACTTATCCACTGAGTAAAAAAAAAAAAATACTAAACTTGTAGATTTCAAAGGAACACAACAAGCATATTATAAAGCATGGCTAAATTTACTCCATCCTTCCTGATCCCTAACGGCAATTGGTTCTATAATATTATTTCTTACAAACATTAATAGCAATTTATATTAGAAACATAATCAGCCCAGTTAGAACAAGCTTATGGGGAAGACTATTTCACATTTTTACAACTCTTGCAGCCAACAAACCTTTCCATATTTAAGGTTAAACTTTTTTTTTTTTGGGTCACAAACAATGCCCCAGTTTCTTCTGTGGTGACCATACTCATTTTGTTATATGGACCATTTGTGTATTTGTACAAGATGATCATATCCTTCCTAATAAATAATAAAAGGAATGCGCATTCCTTTTATTATTTAGTATTTATACCTGATTTGGGCTAAGGTTGTGAGATTTTTGGCGCTTTTCT